ATGTATAATGCGGCCAAAATTTTGTCGATCACAGCCGTTGGAAAATCAAAATTGAGGTTCAACGACGCGGCACCTAGATTTAATGAATCACGCGCGGGATTTTTTGAAAAACCGCGATTTGCCCATCTCTATGTAGAACTAATGAAACAAAGTTGGGGCAAGAAACCAAAAAATAGACCTAGAGCAGAAGAACTCTGAGATTATAAACGAGTGGCAAATAATAAGAAAATTCTGGCGAAATGGAATGATTCTAAAATAACACTTGAGAATTTAAAAGAACCGCATGTAGATATTCATGGTAATGCGAGTAAAGTTATTCTTTGCACAAATTTAATTGTCAACGTAGATAGTGTTAGACCTGAAACACGTGATCCACAAGTGGCCGTTCGACGCCCTCCCGACTATGAAGATCTTTTACTATAATGTTTGGGTTAACCGTGCTTATAATGGTTATAATGATTATAATTCTTATATTGCATATATTGATTATAATCATTATAATCAATATAAGCGATATAATCAATATAATCATTATAATGATTAGAAATAGACGGAAGTATTCTTATAAATAACCTGTAAATTGACTCTAGTAATAAAGCGGATTCCCCATACCTTACATATCGAAATAAAGGTTCTTCTACGAGTGACTGTATAGAACCATTGATAAAGTAAATACTAACCTGAAATAGTAGTAAATCCCAACCTGATTGTCCAGTAATTCCCGAAGTAGTGTGAAATACTGCATTTTTGAATTAGTAGAGTAATAGTCTCGACGTAGTGTAGACTATCCAGGATAGGCAGGACCGAATCGAAGTCGCTCGCCAAATCTACACACCTTTTTCGACCGAAAGCCTCCCGATCGTTACACGAAGACGACCTTCGATTAGCGACAGACTCTCCGGAATTGGAGCTCTCAATAGTGAATTGTCAAAATTAGATGAATTAAAGTAAATATAAAATAAAATATGTAATAAATTTTATAATTGAAAAAAATCGAATAACTAATCAAAATATTCTGTTTAGTTTATTCAAAAATATAAAGCCAATACTTGTTTATAACTTATACTATTATTACTTTGAAATTTCATCACAAGTTTTGCTTGCTATTGACAGAATTCCATTATACAAATAATTAGTAATGAACAATTAATTTGTAAAAGTATTCTAAAATTTATTTTGGATAAATATATATTTTTATTACATAAGGCGTTTGGGTTTAATATGAAATATTAATATTCACAAGCTCGACAATACATAAGCCTGTCTAACCAAAATTGAAAAAATTCTATCTTGTACAGTCCCAAAATCTCAATAATTCAGATCCTAACAATTAAATCTTATAAATTCTGATGGTGCTAAATTCTGATATATTAAATTCGTAAAGTACAAATACTAAAGATATAATGTACTAAAAACTAAAATCAAAAAAATCAAGTTCCCAAAAAATTATTCTGAAAGGTTATGATCATATTTCTGAGCAAGCAATATTTTCCTTGAACAACAAGTCCAAATTATTCTCCTAACTCTTTTTATAATTTTTCCCAATACACCATCTCGCAAATAATTGCACCAACAACTATTATTTCCTTGATATTGAGATATTTAATTATTTTAAAATTATCCTTTCTTTCAAGTTCAATTTTTACTACTTATCCTCGAGTTTTATCTTTATTGATTTGGCCAGTGTGAATAACTTCTCCACATTTCGCCGGCCAATATGATACTCCTGCAACTTCTCCACATTTCGCCGGCCAATATGATACTCCTGCAACTTCTCCACATCTCTCTGGCTTCGCTGCCATGTGGTGTAGTACTAGCAATCACCAAGCTAACAATAAAACTTATATCGTGAGAATTGTAGATATCACCGCTGCTATGGACAGATTGAGAATTAGAATGCAAAAACATGCTTATGTTCAATATGTTAATACTACTACTGTATTACTGTGCATTTGTAAACTACCCCAAATTTTGAAAAAGTTTGACTACTCGTAGTGAGTCAATTTAATTTGACTTCATATATACATATATCAATATAAGCTAGAGTTATTATGATAATTGTGAAATATATCTTAATTAAATTATGATATACCACCGCACCCCCGAATCTGATGTCTAACCCTTCTTCCTGCAATTCAACCCATATCTACTTAATGTCCTAATTCCACAAATGCGCCGTAATGGGCTTGTTGATGTCAACTTCACTTTTTAATGTTGAAACTGATATAAATATTGTTCCTGTTTCACTGGACGGAAAGGGTAATAGTGTGAAATGTGCAAGAGTTAATAAAGTTGAAGTACATTTATTTCAACATGATGAAGTGAATGCAAATTTCTTGGTTAAAAGCTCGGATGAATTTGTTGGTTCCTAAAACATTTTAAATTTGTAACAAAGAACATTCAATTTCTTTATTGAACAATTAATCATTATGAACTTCAAATAATATACGTTATAATACTAAATTATATACTTAGTATTAATCTATCATGTATCTGATAAAAATCTCATAATGCATTAATATTTAACTTTTTTTAAAAAAAATAAACAATTAGTCGATGCTTTTGTTTCCTGTACTCATGTTAGTAACCGACCTATAAAGGTAACATTATTAAAATTCTATATCAATATAGCACAGTAAATTTTAACTAAATTAAAAAGATGTTCAATTATATTTCAATTATATTTTTGCTAATATATTTGACAAAAATTTTACCAGTGACGAATAATGAGACTTTTCATCAACAATTTCTGATTGACCGATCAATGGATTACGAATGATAAAACCTATGTTGAATGATAAAACATATCAATATTATGGACAAGTTAGCCTATGAATCAGTTCATTTAAAGTTAACTCTGTTTTATTTGAAGTACGTCCGATATTATCTAATGAATACTTTTAATTTCTGAAGCATCCAATGGTTCTGAAATTGGAATTGGATTGGAAGAATTAAAATTAAGAACATTGATGCTTGCCACCAGGATTGTTAGTGCAAATTTCTTGATCCAAAATCTATAAAGAAAAAGAAGTAAAATCAGCTACTGAACTTTAATGATACACTCCAAATTAAAGTTTGGGTCGAAAGTTTGATGTTACCTATAATATGCTATACCACTCGATAGCGATCAAAAATCTAAATAGTCATACATTTCATTTAATGATTTAAACGACTTAGCCTGACTCATATTTAAAAGTTTATCATAAGGAATCGACTAATTTACCCTTTTGAACTTGGATACAATTATCTTTACGGAATTGGTGTTGAAAAGGATGAACGTAAGGTATTCACTTATTTTCAAAATCTGTAGAGATAGGAAATACTAGTGTGATATTTGCACTTGGTAATTGTTATATTGTCGGAATTGGTGTTAAAAAGTATGAACATAAGGCATTCATTTATTATCAAAAATCTGCAGTGATGTGGAGTATATAATGTTGGATGTTGTTATAAAATGGAATTGGACTTAAAAGGATGAACGTAAGGCATTCATTTATTATCAAAAATATGCAGAGATGGGTGATGCTATGGAATATATAGTGTTTGATGGTGCTATCAAAATGGGATTGGGGTTGAAGAGGATGAACATAAGGCATTTATTTATTATCAAAAATCTGCAGAGATGGATCATGCTGATGGAATATACAATTATTATCAAAATGGAACTGGAGTTGAAAAGGATGAACATAAAGCATTCACCGATTTTCAAAAATCTGCAAAAATGGGAAATGCTAGTGAAGTATGCAATGTTGGATGTTGTTATGAAAATGAAATTGGAGTAGAGAAGGATGAACATAAGGTATTCATTTATTATCAAAATTCTGCAGAGATGCTGAGTGGGCATGTTACGTTGGATATTATTATCTTCATGGGATTGGATTTGAAAAGGATGAATATAAATCATTCATTTATTATCAAAAATCTGCAGAGATGGGTAGTGCTAATGGGATATTTAATGTTGTATATTGGCATCAAGATGGAATTGGGTTGAAAAGATGAACGTAAAGCATTCATTTGTTATTAAAAATCTGCAGAGATGATTATGCTGATGAAACATACAATTCTTGGTATTGTTATCTTCATGAATTGGAATTGGAAAGGATGAACATAAAGCATTTATTCATATCCAAAAATCTGCTGAAATGGAATACGCTCTTGAAAAACAGATAGTTGGATATTGTTATAGGAATGGAATTAGTGTGGCAAGAAAAATACATAAAGCTAATTTATGGTACCAGATGTAAATTATTTTTTTTTAAATATTAAGGTGAGTACTTGCGACTCAGGATTTTATTAGTAGTATATTTGGCTAATGGATGCTTTACAACCACAGGGGGCAACTATAAGAAGAGTGTACAACTAGCCACTCATGCAACTTTAATCATTGTCTAATTTAAGTAGTCCACTCAAAGGTTTTACATTAGCTGCCATACCTGGAACCTGCTTGTAGTTTCCCTATTTAACCACTCTGTTTCTGTATCCACCCACCTACCTCTGCCTACTAATGACCCCAGCTAATGCTAGTAAAAATATGTCATGGTCATTAAGTCTTTAAAGCAGTTCACTCACATGAGGAACCTTTGACCTTGTACTAAATCTTTCAGAATCTTCTGTATTCCATTCTTACAGTTGATCTGATATCACCATGGTAAAGACCAACACTGGCAGTCAGGGTATACCATTAAACCACTATGCCTTTGTAGAGTTCACCCCAACCTTGGTACTGACTTCACAACATATCCTTACTACTTTGGTATTTAATTCAAGTTCTACCAAGCTGCCATTCCAGATAGCCTGA